GCTATTTAGATTTATGGACGAACGCTATTTCAATTCAGGACGAACACTATTACCGTTCGTTGATAATTAAGGAAGGAACGAACGTTCGGTATATGACCGAGCGTTCTTTTACCACATACGCATTTGGACGAGCGTTCGGTATAAGAACGAGCGCTACTTAGGACGTACGCTTTTGAGTCTAAACTTATTTGCTGATTCAAAATCATAGAAATTTGGAATTTTCATAATATGGAATACTTAAAGTTCATGCTTTAACAATTTGACTAAGTGTAAAATGGTAGATTTTCAAGCTTCTCAATTCCTCACACAACACTCATGAGATCTACGTTTGGCCGAACGCTCAAACGTAAATTATGTATAAGAGGGCGTTCGTCCTAAAAGGGAAATCCTTTCCAAATGAAAGGGTTCGACTATTTCAAGGAATTCACTATGAATACCGAACGGTCAATGACCGTATCGATAACGAACGTTTATTTTCATAGACTTAATTAATCAAACTCATCTTACAGTATACAAAATTTTCCAGTATAAGCTTTCATACATCAATTTACTCAAATCATTATACAAATCCATGCATTTTCACACATCATCTCATCATACAACTCATTTTCCAATTAAATCAAACCATAGAACATTGCATCATTTTCATACATCATTTCAGAATCATCTTCATATACGAACAGTCCAATATCATGAATCATATTTCAAGCAGCATATAAACGCACATGCAGTACAAAAAATCACATGAATTAAATCTAATAAGCTTCCCTTACCCGGATCAGTAGTGATCGTTCTAAAACGAGTGATCTTGGCTTGTCCAAATATGGTTCTATCAACTTTTCTCTTGAACTCTTCTACTAAAACTAAAAGAAACACAAAGAGCTCGGTTTAGACCCATGCATGCAGACGGAACTGGTTGCAAAATTCCAGAAAAGAGCGTCCAAGTATAAACTTACCAGAACCGGAAGTTGTTCGGTTCAAGATGGAGCTCACGGTGCAGGGGACGTTCCTACGGTGCTGAAACGTGAACGGAGAAAAGGGTGGTAAGTTACCGAAGAGAGAAGAAGAGGGTTCTAGAGAGAAGGAGGAGAAAATGGAGGTTTTGGATTCCTGAGGAAGATGAAAGTGCACGCAGAGAAGGGGAAGAGTGTTTCAAAAAAATTTTAATTCTCTTCCCAAGTCAAACGGACGTTCACTCATGCAATGACACCTGGCTTCCAGACTTGAGTTCAGAACCTTCCAATTTGACACATGGCAGAGAGGGGTCAGGGAAAGTGAGTGCGTTTTAATGGCGTGCACGTGGGACGTGGGTGCATTTATGGAAGCACAGTGGTGAATCATCACCGAATTAACGAGACGTGACATAATATATTATAAATTATTCGGCTAACTTTTGAGTTTATATATACTATTCAGTGAAAAAAGTCACTCTGTGTATACCTCAACAAATTAAGAAAAATACAGATATGATAAACATTTTAATATAACTAAAAACAAATTGGCCTAGAAGGTTACCAACAAACATATTCACATTTTCCATTCTTCTTTCAAACTTCATCCAATCACAAAAGTGTTTCCGCCATGGGAGAGAAAGAAAGAAAACGAAGAAAACAAACAAAAAAAAAACACAAGCACAATGCCTAACCTAAAAAACCATTATCAAAACGAAAGCTGTAAGAAGATCCAAATCACTGAGAAAACACAGACACAACAGTAAAAGTATAAAGCACTGTCGAAATCAAAGAGGCGGTGGTTTTATCGCCGGAAGGTGTCCCTCTAGACGCGTTCCTCTTGCGTAGTTGTTCCATTGGAGTTGGTATGGTTCGGCATTTCCACGGATCCTTCTTCTTCTGTTGCCGTTGCCGTTGCCTTCTTCGGATCAGTTTTACTGTCACGGTATATAAAATAGAGTATTAGCTGCGTCGCTCCCAAGACTGAACCCACGCCATTAGGTACCTACAGTACGTAACAAAACAGGGTTGGTCCAGTTATAAAGGTAATAATAATAATAAAGTTATAAGAATCTGCGTGGTGTGCAACTTACAGCCACGAATGGGTCACGACCAAGTAGGCCGTAGATGAACCAGGAAGTGCCACAGAGGAACACAAACAGTGACAGAAAGAAGGGCATAAACTCCACGCTCTTGCTTCTGATCACTAGCCGCTGCACCCACACATAATGCCAAACAACACTAAATCATATAATTATGTTTAATTGCAAAGCTTTTAAAATACAAAAATTATTTATATACACCAAAAATAGTAAATATAGTAATCATCACTTAATATATATTTTGAGAACCAAGGAACATAAACAAAAAGCTCATTTGAATTTGTATAATTTTTTTTTTCAAATAATTGTAAAACTTTTGAAATAGAAAAATATTCATGTACACCATAAATAATGGCTGGTACTTAATGTATATTTAGAGAAAAATAATAATAAACTTTATAATATATATATATATAATGGATATGTATATTTATAATTACTCCTTAAAATAACGTTTGGTTCTGGATATTAGCCTTTGTGTGTGCGTGAAGAAAAAAAACATTTTAGAATATTTTTAACATTTACACAGAACTTTAGGTCTTATTATATTATTTTTGTAATTTTTATTAAATTGAATTGGAAAAAAGTTAGTGTATGCATTAAAAATATCTTACTGCTTCTTCTCGTCATTTTTATAATAAAATAAAAATGTAAATGAAGTCAATGATGTAATAAAATAGCTTCGTAAAACACAGGCAAATTAAACCTCGGTTATCTATTACTATCCTATTAATAGAAAAATAGCATGCTTTTAAGATATTCTCAAACCTTTTTATAACCGGAGAGGAAAGAATTGACAGTTAATTTATTATGATGTTATTTTCTTAAAATAATTTTTTTTGTTTTTGTTTTTATTGAGTGAATGATTAGGAGTTACGAAATTGAATGAAGTGAGAGTGATGTTGGATTGAATGGAGTTACGAAAACAATGTGAAACACTCTTAAAATAATGATTAACAAGAAAGACAACATGAGAAAAAGTGAGTTGCCAAAAGAGGAAAAGGGAAAAGGAAGAGACAGGGGCAAGCTGGCCATGCCATGATGACATGATAAGGATGTGATGAAATTATTCGATATAGAAAGTGAAGTTTGCTTACCATGATGGAGAGAGGTGACCCATACATGATGATGGAAAATATTGCAGCAGCGAAGCCACAGAAGAGTTTTCTGGTGTTTCCATGCAGAGCCAACAGAGACACCAGAACAACACCAGAGAACACTGCCACCACGAACGAGAAAAGCCCAAGAATCTTTGCCTTCTCTTTCTTCGGTGCAAACAACACGAAGATGAAAACGTATACGATCTCAATTGCAGCTCCTGCGCCATTGATTATTGACACTAGAATGTTGTGTGGGGACACAAAGGGTAAACCATACCTGTGTATTGTACAATACAATCAAAAGAATCAGAAATTTTCATTTCTCAGATTGAACTCACTGTTAGAAAATATGCAGAAAGAACAGGAATAATAATAATCACTAAGAAAAGATTTAGCCGACGAGAGGGAAAATTCAACCATGATTTGACAAAATTATGAAACTTTTTTTTATCTGTATTATGTCCCTCTTCCCATATGAACTGAGTAAAGAACTGAGGGAGAAAGGTACCAAGCAGAAAGGAGACAGTTGAGAAGAGTCATAGGGTAAGGAACGCCAGAGAACTTCTCTGTGGATTTGTTGGCAATGACCCTCTTGAATGTTACTCTGCAAAAACCAAACTTGTCATGAATTTTGTCAAATGGGTAACCTACGCACAGAAAAGGATGATTCTTTTGTGAATTATAATGAAAAAAACAACATGGGGTAAGATAAAGATAACAGTTATGAGAAGCATACATTGGGGCCAAGAAGAGGAACAAACCAGAAGCATTCCCTGCAGTACATAAAGAAAATTAAGAAACCAAGAAGAAAGGCAAGAAGAAGGGTATGCAAATGATGCAAATGGGAAGAAAACTCACCGAATATGCCGAACAAGAAATGCGCAATATTATCCATGGTGTTGAAGCTTGGAAACGAGAGAAAAATCAATGGGAGTTGAAGAAGGAAAAGAAAGTGGTCTAAAGAACTAGTAGTTTCTTTAGGAACGGTAGGTTACTCATAACTGGCTACAATGAGGGGTAGTTTTGCAGAGGTTGTGAGATGATTATTTATATATATATATATATATATATATATATATGTGTGTGTGTGTGTGTGGAAATGGAAGAATTGAAAGGTAACTTCTTTGGACTCTAAAATAAAGAAGAAAAAATGATTTGATCTTATCAATGGACAACCGTTTGTGCACTTGAAAGACAGTGTGTGTCTTTTATATATTAATCGCACCAAACCCAAATGAATGCAGGTGATAATGTAACATTCATGCGGTGGAACATGCAAACTGTTCAAGCTCCCTCTCATTATCTAAAAGAAATATGTTTATTGGAAAGGCAAAATAATTGAATAAGAAAAATAAAAGATATTTGGGTTAATTTCATTTACTCTTAATGTTTATGTATACTTTCTTTCTTTTATTATGTCATGCCGACCATTAGAAGTGATTTTGTTTTGGAAAATTATAAACATACAACTCCCAATTTTCCTATACCTATTTGATGCTTAATAAAAGTTAATATTTTAACTTTTCTACTTTATTCATTTCATTTTGTTTAATATTTTAAAATAATTTTGTTTGGTGTTGAATAACTATAGAATAAAAAATGTGATGTATGTGTATCTCTGTTTTGTTTTTTTCTCTTACTATATTACAAGTGTAAATATGAATTCTCTTTGAAATACTAGAGTTATCCACTGGAAGTTGCTAATTGGTACGTGTGAAATGGTAGTTTTATCATTAGTGATAGTAGTAATATATTATAATATAAAAAAATATTAGTAAATTTACTTTATTATCTATTTTTATTACCTATTTTATTTTGTTGGTAAATATCTTAAAAATTAAATTTTATTTATTTGATATTTTTAATTTCTTTATTTAAATTTATTTTATGTAATGTATACATGTTATTTTACTTTTTTATTTATTTATTTTATTTTTTATTTATATTTATTTTTTTATTACATGTTTATAAAATTTATTTTATCTTTTCATTCATTTTATTTTATTTTCAAACTAAATTGTTTATATTATTTTATAAATTTTAATTAATTAGTCATTTAATAAATTGTTAAATAATAAATTATATTTAAAGTATAAATTGTTTATCCTATTTTTCTTCATTTTTAATTTTATCTTTGGTCACTAATAAAATTAAATTTTAAAAAACTGTATTTTATTTTATTTTTTAAAATAATATTATTTAAAAAGATAGTATAATATATATATATATATATATATATATATATATATAATACAATTTCTTTATTATTATATAAAACATTATCTCTTTAAATATTTATTTTATTATTTTATTAATTTGATTTATTTTTAAACTGATTTATCATAAAAATAATAATATATATTAACTTTATCATTTAATATCTAATAAATTATTATTTTAGTTCTTAAATTTAATTATTACTTTTTTAAATTTGAAATATTCGTATCAATCTCCAAAATGTTAATTATGTATTGAATTATATAATTTAATTCATGTGCATTCCTAAAAATTATTTTAAAGTTTTTTTTATTTTTTTACGTGTGTTCTTAAACATATTTTAATCATCATTAAAAATGTATTTTCAATATATTTATTATTAAAGAATAATTTATATTTAAAATATTAACTCATTTGTTCTATACTATTTTTTTCATTCTTAATTATCCACTTGTAATTTTAATTACTTATTTATTTAATAAATTATTAAAGAATAACTTATATTTTCTAATACTATTTTTTTCATTTTTAATTTTCTTTTCTTATGATTTCTAATTACTTAGTTTGTCATTTAATAAAGTTAAATTTAGATTTTATTTCTTAAAATATTATTATTTAGAAAATAATATATATTTATTAATTTTTTGTTGTATACTATTTCTTTTATTCTTAATTTTACTTTTTCATAATTTTTAATTACTTGATTGTTTAATAAGTTATTAATAATTAACTTATAATTAAAATATTATTTCTTTTTTCTTACATTGATTAAATGAACAAAACAAAATAATTAGACAAGATTGACAATGTATTGATTAAATGAATCTAGCAATACACATTAGGTGAGTCATTCATATATTTATTAGACGACTCTGACAAATATACATTAGACAAGTTTTTTAATACATAAATTAGAAGAGTCTATTAATAAACATTAAACAAGTCTATTCATTTACTGCTTAGATGAATAATCCAGTACACATTAGAAGAGTCTATTCACACATTGATTATATGAGTATAGCAAAAAACATTACATAGGTTTAGTGATACACAATAGACGAGTCTATCCATATACTGATTAGACGTGTATAGCAAAAAATATTAGATTACTCATTCCATACTTTGGTTAGATGAGTCTAAGAACATACAATAAACGAGTATGTCCGTACGCTAATTAGATAAGTCTTGTAACACACATTAGACAAATTTGTGCATACATTGATTACACTAGTATAATGTTTAGAAAAAAAAATAAGAATTTTTGACAACCCATGTTTTGAAGTTTATAAAAAAAAATCAATGAAATATTATTTATAGAAAGAAGCGTCCAATCAATTGGATATACAAATTGGATATACAAAAAGACAAATGCTTAACAAATAAAATCGTTCATCTAAATCAACTAGGACAAAATATACATAATGAATGTTAGAGTAATTCTGACCAAATAAATAGCATCTGATGTAATTGAGAAATGCATATGTTAAACACTTGCGTAGTCATATTCAAGCTACTTGCATCACCAAGCATCTGACTAAGTAAACCATGGATAATGACTAAAAATAGGCTTTAAACATTATCGAAAAATATATATAACATAATGTGTCGAGATAAACAATAGTAATTCCATTAAGCAACATGTTAGCTCAAACCTGCATTAAAGGATATAAAAAGAAAGTTGTTGAAAGGGCTATAAAACCTATTATTAAATCAACTCTTTATCCAACAATCATCTCTCAAGAAAGCCTATATAAAGAAGATCAATTGAAGAAAAGAAAGTTGTTGAAGAAGATATGAAAAGAAGTGAGAAATAAGAAACAAAAAGAGAGAGTATGCTCAAGAAAGATCATAGAATATCAGCTCTACTCTATCCCAATTCTCATATCATTCGATGATCTTCAACCCAAAGAAAAATTATGAAAGCAAGCTTAAGCAAAGGAAACACATGAAGAAAAAGTTATCATCATATCTCGCTTTCTACTACATCTCCAAGCCTACAACATCTCAAACTTTTGGAATGAAAGGAAGAGTATAAATAGAAGAGAAAAGAAAAGAGAAGAAAAGAAAAGAAATTAAGAACTTCATAAGCTTATTTTGTCTAATTATCTTCATCTTAAGAGAAGAAACCTCATGAGTTCAAAAATTGTTTTGTATCTTATTAATCCTCTCCTTGAGAGTTTATTCAATATGTACTTGTAATCAAACACCAAGTGTGTTTGTATTAAAAACACTAATATTATTTGTGTACTAGTCAGGTTACACCAGGGGTGGTTGACAATACTTTGGTACCAGGAGTGGTCGTAATACTCAAAAACTAGGAGTAGGTAAACTCGGACTAGTCATGTTGACTAGGTGAACCAAGAGTGGTGTAAAAATACTCGAACTAGTCGTGTTGACTTGGGGTACCATAAGTGATTTATAATACTCTAACCAGTCAAGATTGACTAGGGGACTAGGAGTGGTAATAATACTTGTAACTAGGAGTGAGTTAAACTCGTTGTAATCTTTGGTAAGATTATTGAACCTCATTAAGAGTTCTTAAGGGAGAATTTAACGTAGCTTAGGTTGAGTAAACTAGTATAAAAACTGTGTTTTATTGTTTTCATTCCTTAGAAGCTTTTATTCAGTTTTCTATGACATTGTTTGAAGAATATCTTTATCCTTTGAAAAATCATCAGACACCCTTTAAAAAGTTTTAGAAAACACTATCCATCACCCTTCCCCCCCTCTATAGTGTTTTTCTGTGTATTTCATCTAACAATATATGTTAGACAAATCTGTTCATACACATATTAGATGAATTTATTAATACACATTAGATGACTTTATTCATTCAATGATTATGTGAGTCTTGCAATATACATTACACAAGTTTACTCATATACTAATTAGGTGAATCTAACAACACATATTGAACGAGTTTGTCATATGTATCGATTAGAGGAGTCTAACAATTCACATTAAATCAATTTATTCATACACTAATTTATAATACACTAATTTATAATCACATTAAATTGACTAGTCATGTTGACTAGGTGAACCAAGAGTGGTTTAAGAATACTCGAACTAGTCGTGTTGACTTGGGGTACCAGAAGTGATTTATAATACTCTAACTAGTCAAGATTGACTGGGGGACTAGGAGTGGTAATAATACTTGTAACTAGGAGTGAGTTAAAAACCCATTTAAGAGTTCTTAAGGGAGAACTGAATGTAGCTTAGGTTGAGTAAACCAGTATAAAAACTGTGTTTTATTGTTTTCATTCCTTAAAAGCTTTTATTCAGTTTTCTATGACATTGTTTGAAGAAGATGACACCCTTTAAAAAGTTTTAGAAAACACTATCCATCATCCCTTTAATGAATGTTAGCCAAGTCTGTTCATACACATATTAGATGAATTTATTAATACACATTAGACGACTTTATTCATTCAATGATTATGTGAGTCTTGCAATATGCATTACACAAGTTTACTCATATACTAATTAGGTTAATCTAACCATACATATTAAACGAATGTCTCCATATACTGATTAGACGAGTCTAACAACACATATTGAACGAATTTGTCAATGTATCGATTAGAGGAGTCTAACAATTCACATTAAATCAATTTATTCATACACTAATTTATATTTTTAGGAAGTCAACTGTACAAATTTTTGCATATTTTTTATATTTTTAGAGAGTCTATTATATTTTTGTACATGTTTTTATCCTTTATATATTTACAAAGTGTACTATTTATATTTTTATAGAAATATTGTCTTTTTAAACATATAAATTATTTTTAAAGTTGATCTATTCAAAATTTAATTATAAACTTAAAAATATTTA